TAAAGTTTTAAGGAAATTTTATGGGTTAATTTGACTCATACATTTTGCCGACGTGTTTCGTCTTCTGACTTTTTCAAGGCAAAAATGAAATCGAAAAAGTCGGAAGACGAAACGCGTCAGCAAAATGTATGAGTTTTTTTTTTTCCAATTGTCATTTGATACCAATCTGTCTTGTCCACAGAATTCATCTGGGAATTTAACTATATATATATATATATATATATATATATATATATATATATATATATATACACACACACATTTTGATGTTTATACCAAGTGTTTAATGTTTGTTAATGCCAGCAAAATTTTTCATGTTTCCAGTGTTCTTGCTGATACCAGCACTACTGTGATTTGAAAAATCTCAATTCTTCTAGAAATATCTATTCCCTCTAATCCTGTTTTCTGTGTTTTGTTCCTGGTGCTTCTGTTATTACAGGTACAACTTTCAGATTCCAGAATTACTCTACTCTTCAAATAAAATCCTAGGATTTATTTTTAATATTCCTTGATCAAATGCATTCACAATCTGCCAATTTTTCCTATCCCCTTGTTAGCAACAACCACGCCTATCTTCTCACTTGGGTAGAATGGTGAATTTGAATCTCAACGTCTTTTACTTTTTTTTCAGGAGAGACTTTAGTACATACAAATAGCACGGACATGCATTTCAACAAAGTAATACTTTAGTTTCAAATAGATAGGGTAGTTTGAATAGAAGGGGGAATGGATTTTTTTATATAATTTTTAGCAATTAAATATTTTATCCTTGTAACTTAAATCAAGGGTTGTAAGGAAATTTCCAGAATATTTAATACAAGGAGGGTTTGGAATAAAGATAATGTTGTGCACGAATCTTTCTCCCAGAAAGAAAAATGATTATGGCCTGTCTATCTGAAACTTAAAAGAAATTTATTGCTTACTCTATAAAACATTTTCTGTACAGAATTTAAAATATCTGCCTTTATTAAGTATAACATTATTATTTATACCAATTCTATCATTCAGCACTTTCAAGAGATTCAGTGAATTTATATTTTTATAATGAACACTTGAAACTTGTAAGCAAATATTCACCTTTAATAATCTTGACTTGTGATTAATCAAATTCAGTTTGCTGCAATTTCTTTCCACAATAAAAGGACATGACCAGAACCTGATTATCTTTTTGGCTAATATAGGCTGCAGCCTTAGGTCCAGGGACAGATTATCTTTTAGGCTAATATAGGCTGCAGCCTAAGGTACAGGGACAGATTATCTTTTAGGCTAATACTGACTGCAGCCTAAGGTCCAGGGACAGATTATCTTTTAGGCTAATATAGGCTGCAGCCTAAGGTACAGGGACAGATTATCTTTTAGGCTAATACTGACTGCAGCCCAAAGGTACAGGGACAGATTATCTTTTATAGGTTAGTACAGGCATTATCCTAATATAGGCTGCAGCCCAGGGATATATAGATATATATATATATATATATATATATATATATATATATATATATATATATATAGGGACAGATTATCCTTTGGTTAGTATAGGCTGCAGCCCAAGGCCCATCTAGATTTTATAATGCAATGATTTTAATTTTCTAGTTGTTATAACTTCGAAATAGTTTCATAAACTGAAATATCAATGACAAACTCATATTTATTTTGATCATATTATTGTTATAATGCTGGTTATAAAAAATCAGTTGTGTTGAAATCTGTGCTAATTTGGTTTGCAATAAATAAGAAAATAGCGGTATTTCTAATAAAATATTTTTATTGACAGCTATTCTAGTTTATTTAAAGAATTTGAAATAAGTTTACTTCAATCTATATAAATATTGTTAAAATATATAACAAGTAAAAATATTCAAGATAGGTATGGGCAAGTTAGAGATTGGCTCCATCTAAGGGGAGACCCATAATTTCATTAGCCTAGCAGCCCCAAAAGGTCATAATCTGGCACTTCCAAATGAAATACAGAATAAATTTAAAAAAGACTAAAGTCAGGCTGTATGCATAATACTCAAAAATCAGTAATTGCTGATTTGGTGAAAGCTAAATTTTTACAGTAAAGTTATCATTTTGTTTGTAAGCCATGGAAAATTCAATTGAAATTTTATTTTAAAATGATAAGTTAAGATGTTTCTTCATGTTACTACTTTTGACAAATTAATAAAAATCATTCATTTTTATCTAAGATTATAACTGTGATATTTGCTTTGCCCATCCAATTTTCAGAACATGTGATGAGCTGAGACAATTTCTTCATATGACTGAACTTATGTCATTTACAAAACTCACAGTTCATTAATGCTTTTAATCAATTTTCCCTACTTTTGTTGAAAAAATGTTTATATCTTGGTAATGATATCTGAGGAATAAAAAATATTGAAAACATATGGGACATGGTAATAAGTGAAATATTGGGCTAAATGTAAAAAAAGATGTGAAAATGCTAGTCCTGAAAATAATGAAAATATGTCATCTTAGAAACTTAATAAGAAATTAA